GTGGGCACAGAAATGATTATAAGGCCCCCCCTACAGTGCTGGCTCTCCCCAAGAGCCATGTGCCCAGTGGACAGTACGGTCCTGGAACACTGATTTTCCCTGCCCCTGAGGCTACTCACCAGTTTGGGGGTCTTGTGGCTCACGTGAGCTTGCCTGGGGTCAGCCAGTTACTGACAGGTATGTGAATAGTGGCTGTGTTTTAAATCACTGAATCAGTGGTCCATGCAGCGGCGTATTATCACCTAGGCAAACAAGGCCTAGGCCTAGGGTGGCAAATTTGCAGGGGCGGCAAATTTGCTCACGCCCCCTCCCCAACTCCACCCCTTCCCCAAATCCCCAGCCCGCCCCCTCCCCCAGGCGCGCCATGCTTCCCTCCTTCCACCTCCCTCCCAGGCTTGCCGCGTGAAAGCGCTGGGAGGGAGGAGAAGCGAGTAGTGTCGCGCTCGGGGGATAGCGAAGGTGAGCTGGGGCCAGTGGGCCCAGGGAGTAACTCTTGGGGGGACAGGGAACCGCTCCCTGCCCCAGCTCACCTCCACTCCACCTCCGCCATCCCCCGAGCATGCCACAACTCCCCTTCTCCCCCCTCCCTCCCAGGCTTTCCGCGCGGGAGCGGAGGTGAACTGGCAGCGGGGGGGAGGCGACAATTTTTTGAGGGCCTAGGGGCAGCAAATTTGTTAATCTGCCACTGGGTCCGTGTGTTACAAACAATACTGCTTCGGTAAAATGTTGCATTTTGGCTTCACAGATATGACCTGGGGAGCCCAGCCTCCCTCTTTGTGATTGCCGGCTGAACGGCTGCGCAGAATTAGAAAACAGCCACGAAGAACTAAAAAGGACTTTCTGTGTGATGTCATGATGCACCCCGCGGCCGAAAAACAAGAATTGAAGTAGTGGTGGGACAGCGAGAAGAGGGACCGAAAGGAGAAGGCAGCGCGCCAGAACGAAGCCACGGAGCGGCTCTTAAACGTTATGGGGCGCCAAGCGGACACGCTCCAGTCGCTACTAGCACTGCAAACCGAGCAGCTCCGCACCCGCCCTCCCCTGCAGCCGCTGTCACAAAACTCTTTCCCATGCGGCCCCCAGACACCGCCAACGCACTCTTATCAACCTCCTGGCTCCAGTCTGTACCCGCTGCATTGCACTCCTGCCCGTCACAGTCCAGCCCTGTGGACTCCCAGTACCCACTGCACTCAACACCCGTCCCTCTGCAGTTTAGCCCTGCTGAAGTACAGTACCCGCTGCACTGTACTCCAGGGGACAAGGTTGCATATGATACCTGGACATACACAAATCTTTAACCATCCCGGGACCCCACCTCCTCCTGGGACCCTCCCTTCCCCCATCCCCCACAGTGCTGATGTGGTTTTTTGTTTGTTTCTCTCCTCCGGTTGTTGTTTTTTAAAAAAGAATTGTTTTGGTTTGAAAAGAATCTTTATTCCATTAATTGAAAGCAAACAGAGCCCTGCAAAGCAACAGGCAATTTTCTTAAACCTTCATAGTGCATCGTCTGCACCTGTTACTATCACCTCCTAGCATTACAAGCACTGCACTCCCGAACATAGCAACAAATATTAGTGGCTTTCAGATTCAAATTGATGCCTCAGGGCATCCCTGATCCTTATTGCCTTGTGCTACGCCCCTCTAATAGCCCTGGTCTTTGTCTGTTCAAATTCAGCCTCCAGGCGCTGAGCGTCAGCGGTCTAGCCCTGAGTGAGGCTTTCACCCTTCCCTTCACAACTATTGTGGAGCGTACAGCACACGGCTATAAGCATAGGAATATTGTCATCGGACAGGTCCAGCTTCCCATATAGGCAGCACCAGCAGGCCTTTAAACGCCAAAAGCACACTCAACAGTCATTCTGCACTTGCTCCGCCTGTTGTTGAAACGCTCCTTGCTGCTGTCAAGGTTCCCCATGTCATAACTATAAAGGGAAGGGTAACAACCCTCCTGTGTACAATACTGTATAATCCCTCCTGGTCAGAGACACCAAAATCCTTTTACCTGTAAAGGGTTAAGAAGCTCAGGTAACCTGGCTGACACCTGACCCAAAGGGCCAATAAGGGGACAAGATACTTTCAAAGCTTGGTGGGGGGAAGGCTTTTGTTTGTGCTCTTTGTTTTGGCTGTGTTCGCTCTTGGGACTAAGAGGGACCAGACATCAATCCATGCTCTCCAAATCTTCTGAACAAGTCTCTCATATTTCAAATTTGTAAGTAACAGCCAGGCAAGGCATGTTAGTTTTATCTTTGTTTTCTCAACTTGTAAATGTTCCTTTGCTAGAGGGAGGTTTATCCCTGTTTTGCTGTAACTTTGAACCTAAGGCTAGAGGGGGTTCCTCTGGGCTCTTTGAATCTGATTACCCTGGAAAGTATTTTCCATCCTGATTTTACAGAAATGATTTTTTCCTTTTTCTTTAATTAAAATTCTTCTTTTAAGAACCTGATTGATTTTTCATTGTTTTAAGATCCAAGGGTTTTGGATCTGTGTTCACCAGGACTAATTGGTGAGGGTATACTCTCAAGCCTACCCAGGAAAAGGGGTGTAAGGACTTGGGGGGAGGGGGAGGAATTAGTCTCAAATCTGCCCAGGAAAGGGGGGGTTAGAGACTTGGGAAATATTTGGGGAAAGGCAGAGTTCCAAGTGGCTCTTCCCTAAGTTTTGGAACACGCTTGGTGGTGGCAGCTTACTGTTAACCTAAGCTGGTAAATAAGCTTAGGGGCTTTCCTGCGGGTCCCCACATCTGTACCCTAGAGTTCAGAGTGAGGAAGGAACCCTTGACACCCCACGTATGGCTTCATAAGCCACAGCATTAAGGGGTAGGCAGGGTCTCCCAGGATCACAATGGGCATTTCGACTTCCCCTACGGTGATCTTCTGGTCCGGGAAGAAAGTCCCTGCCTGCAGCTTCCTGAACAGGCCGGTGTTCCGAAAGATGCGTGCGTCATGCACCTTTCCGGGCCAGTCTGTGTTAATGTCTGTGAAAAACCCACAGTGATTCACAAGTGCCTGAAGAACCATAGAGAAATACCCCTTCCGATTAATGTACTCGGTGGGTAGGTGGTCTGGTGCCAGAACTGGAATGGGAGTGCCATCTATCGCCCCTCCGCAGTTAGGGAAGCGCATTTGTGCAAAGCCAGCCACAATGTCGCGCACGTTGCCCAGAGTGACGGTCTTTCAGAGCAGGATGCGATTAATGGCCCTGCACACTTCCATCAACACGAGTCCAACGGTCGACTTTCCCACTCCGAACTGATTAGCGACTGATCGGTAGCAGACTGGAGTAGCCAGCTTCCACAGTGCAATCGCCACGCGCTTCTCCAATGACAGGGCAGCTCTCATTCTCATGTCCTTGCGCCGCAGGGCTGGGGCGAGCTTATCACACAGTCCCATGAATGTGGCTTTCCTCATCCAAAAGTTCTGCACCCCTGCTCGTCATCCCAGACATGCATGACGATGTGATCCCACCACTCAATGCTTGTTTCCCACGCCCAAAAGCAGCGTTCCACTGTGGTCAGCACCTCCGGGAACGCCACAAGCAATCTCGTGTTGTAGCTACTACGTGTGGCGAGATCAATGTCGCACTCCTCTTGCATTTGTAGTTTAAGGAATAACTCCACTGACATTTGTGACACGTTATCGAGAGCAAGCAGCATATTGGTCAGCAGTGCAGGATCCATTCCTGCAGACCCAAGAGGCAGGGTGCGCAGAACACAAACCGTTGAAAGATGGCACCAAATGCGGACGGAAGCACAGGGATTGCTGGGATGCGAAGCAATGTATTGTGGGGTATTGGGACAGGACCCAGGATGCCCTGCGACCCCTCCGCCTTCCCACAATTCTTAGTGTCAGAAGAGGAAGAGATGCTCAGTGGGAATAGCTGCCCTGAGTGCACCGCTCTGAATACTGCTGACTCAAGTGTGAACACGCTATTGCGCAGGCATCTGACAGTGTGAGCACACAACCACAGTTTCCCTTCAGTGCTCTCTGCGCGGCGATGGAACTGCCGGTGATGTAACTCTGCCAGTGTAGACATACCCTGAGACAGGCACGTGCAGCCCTCTGGGACGTATTTGTGCCGTCCTTTCCAACTGAGACTGAGCTTGTGATCGTGACTGTTTGGTGAATCTTTCACACTCTGGCCCTGGGGAAAGCCCCTGCACCTACAAACTGCATCAGGTGCCTTTAACATCTGCACACGGGAAAATGAACTTCCCGCTTTTAAAGGGGCCTACGAAGAGTTCTTGCTTCTTTACGATGGACAGGGAGGGTCTGAACGGTCTATGGATTTATTTTTCTTGCTTCCTATTTACCCTGTAAGTAGCAGGAATGTCGAGTCTGCTCTGTCCTGGGGTCTCTGGAGGACTGGCTGGGTATCCCACAGCATGTACATTCGGCTCTCACACCGTGGTTGACTGGGGCTAGACCTTTCACAGAGATCACCTTTCCCCACAGTGTTCATTGGTCCGTGGAATTAAACAGACGGTAACAAAACACAAACAGAACAAGCAAGAGCTGTAAGGAGTCGGACAAGCTATTCCTCCCTCTCTCAGGCCTTCGCTTTTAAAATCAGTTTAGTTCAACCCATGCAAGCCGGTGGAGGTGCTCCTGTCGGTCTGAGAGAAGAGTTGATTCTGGTTTAGCTTCAATTCCTAATTGATTGAACCTAAACTAAAATAACCTCCATCACACCACAATAAGTGCATCCACACCGGGGTTTTCACAGGTGTAAGTAAACTGGTTTCAGAACTAATTTCAGTTCAACTGGTTCCATTTTCATGTAGACGTGTGTAACGAGGGCAGCTCTGCCAGCCGGGGCTGGAACCTGGGGGGCTGTCGCTGACGCTGTCCTCCCCAGGGTTAAAGCCAAACCCCACAGCAATGACCGAAGGGCTGGGGAAGGGGACAGAGCCACGGTCCCAGGATCTGGCTGCTCTAAGGATGCACAGGAGCTGTGTGAGGAGCAGCAGCAGGGCAGGAACAAAGCGACAAAACAGCCTCACAAAGAAGTGGGCTTTTATATTTTGTTTTATACTGAACATGCTGCTCCAGGCAGGGTGGGCAGCAAACCCCAGGGGTCCCCACTGCAGCCACTGGTCCCCGCGTGTGACAGACAGCTGGGATCACGCAGGCCGGTCTGGAGGCTGAGAGATGGGAGAGCAGGTGGGATGTTTGCAGAGAGAACGGGGAGGCGTTGGCTGAAGAAGGTGCTAAGGGGGATAGTGCAGCTGGTTCCGGGAAGAGAAGCAGCTGAGACGAGGCCTGTCCATGCCCCCCCGATCCTGGGGTGTCTGGCTCCTGGTGCAGCGCTCTCAGGATGGGAGGGGAGGGGAGGGGGCTGCCCAGCAGGGGTGGGGGCTTCAGCGGGAATTTTCCATCGTGTTGGCGTCAGGGGCTTTAAACAAACACAAACATCCCCTGAGACAGGATCAAAATCACACCCCCACAAACCCGGCAGACAACTGTAGACATGGCCCCACAGAACTCTCCCAACCCCACAAAGACTGTCCCTTCAGAGTCACCCCCCACCCTCAAGACAGATTCCCTTGTGCCCCACATAGACCCTTCCCCCAAGATGTCTCTCCCCCCACACACATGGTCCCGGTGGGTTCCATGCTCCCATCTCCCGTCCTTTGCCCTCTACAACACACACAAACCTCTCCGGCCCATGGACTCCCCCCACCCATAAAGTTGTAGGGACTGGAGTTGTGTGTGGGTGCATCACACCTACCTGAGTCACAGGGGGCGCTGTACTCAGCCTCTGTGTGTTCACCTGCAACAGCAAGGGATGTAAGGAATGGAGGAGAGACCCAGTGGGGGGATGAGAACCCCTCCCCCTAATCCCACACAGGCAGAGTCTGTTACCCCAGCCCCAGGGGATCCCTGCTGTAGGTCTGAGCCCTACAAAGGAGTGGGAGGTCGCCCCCAGCTGTCTGAGTGGGGCTGTGCGCTGTCTCCCATCCCATCTCCAAGTAAGTCAGACGGACCCAGAAATCACCACTGAGTCGCCCCTGAAAACACCCATGGAAACCGTCCTGCCACCTCCTGCACCCAGCACAAAGGGTTCTGGGGGCGTCTGAGGAGCTGGATGGCAGGGGAAATGTGGGGGGCCCTGAAGGGGTGGGACTCGCCTGCTCCTGCTGGGACGGCCCCGTTACACCAGCCGCACCATCCCCACTAGCCCAATGAGCACATGGCTCCCGTGTCCCTCGCGGTGAGCCGACCCCACAGATCGAACCCGGGACGGCTGTGACCTGAG